AGCGTCTTCTGGAAGACATGACAGAAGAGCTTTTGGAGGCTCAGTCCTGGCTGGGAGGTAAGGTGTGGTGGCGTACGCCAGTGTTTTTCTGGTTAGTGGTGCAGTCTTTGTGCAGCATCTCTTTGTGATGGTAGCAGTAATGTCCTAGTGTTGTGCACCAGAGATTTGCATGATAAGCATATTTATCGCTTGCTTCTAAGTTTAGGGCAAATACCAGACCACACTGTGTGCTGTACAGATGTATTACCGAGGTATCTAAAGCATAAGCTGAGCGCTGTGTATGGCATTTCAAAGTGTGACTATCCTCACCTTCCAGGCCGACCAAAATAATCCCAAAGTGTATTATGTGCCCTCTTTCTCTGTGTAAGCGTCCAACCACCCACCTCATGAAGCTGCAGAAAGTATTGTCGTATTGCATATTACATCCAGGCAGCGACTTTGACCAGCAGTAACATACAGGGCTTGTATGGCCCGTTTACACCATGTGCACAGAAGGCGGGTTTTGTGAGTGCTAAAAATAGGAGGAAGAAGAGCATGGCCCCATCTCCTAACTTCCTATTGCTGATGGAAAGAACAACCTATGAAAGACAGCAAATGACTTTACATGCTGCACCCAACGCATCTTGCATCAACACAAGATGTTTGTGGGTTCTGGTAGACTGGAGCTGCACAAATTGGTGGTCAGGTATCGCAGTGTGCTGGAAGTACAAGAGGAAATAACGCTGTGTGCCTTGTAGCTCTGAAGCTTCCACTGTATGCTGAGTGGACCTCATGTGAGTCCCTGGCTTTCCTTCACCATTCTCACTCTTGGCGAGTTGGCTTCCCACAGGGAGCAGGCAGGAAGCGACACTGACACAGCGGCCTCTGATCCTTGCAGGTTGTGGAGGTCTGTGCCCTTCAAAAGGAAGAGAGCTGCCTTGTGGGGCCAAAAAATTTACTTTTCGCATGGCATGGTGTGCTCTGAGGAATCTGCTTGTCTCTGCAGTTAACACTGCTATTGCCAAGTAAAGCCTTTCCAGGAATGTTATAAATGTATTTTCAGCATGAGGGTCTGCGTAATCTGTCTTTAATGAGTTATTTTTGGAAGGAGGAGGATGACAGAGCTAGTAGCATCTTTTTATGCCTGTAGGTAGACTAATAGCCATCTCTTTGCACGTAGTGCTTTTGCGTGAAAATTGCATGGTAGATCCTGGTGGGAATGAGAGCAGGGTAAGATCACCGTTGTGTGTATAGTAGAGAAGGGGAAATTGTTGTAGGAGCCATTCAGAAACCTTAAAGAATACAACTCAGCTCCACGTCTGGTCAGGTGTGATTTAAGTGCAATTTAAAAGGGCTTCTAGAGCTGCTTCCTGAAACACAGCAGCTTCGTGGGCTATGCCTTTGCTATTTGTTGTACGATTGTTGGTAAAACAGCTATCACAGGGAGGCACTGGGCTCCTCCTTGCTGCTCCAACAGGTGAAGTCAGTCACTAGAGACCTACTTTTGTGACTGAATTGTGGTTTTGAGCTAGCGGACTTGCTGTTGGTTCATGACTCTTCCAGACAAGATTTGCAAGAGGTGTCATGTATTAGCTCTACTGCTGTAGCTGGGAAAAATGACAAGCTGTCAAGCATGCAAGCCTTCTACTACCATGCCTCATGGCCAGGAGAAGTCACTGCTTTGGGTTTCAGCTTAAAGCGTCTACCTTTCTCCTGCTATGGCTAAAGCACAATGAGGAACAGTGGGCTAGAAAATGTTATCCATGAAACATTTAGTAGAAATCTACAAATCTGTTCCAGTTTCCATATCACAGCCTATGCAGATCGCTGTAGTTCATCGTGTGAATATGACTGACTGTTCCTGCCCTTCAGCCTTTGGGCTGTAACTAGAACTTTTTCCCATTAGAAAGTGTTCACAGTGTGGTGTAAGAAACTACTTCAGTCGCTGTCATGGTGCTGTCTACTTAGTGGATGCTTTGGGACATTTCTGCTGGGGAGAGAGGCTAGGATCCACCTTGTACTTGTCTGTCATTGCCCTTAATGCCATGCTGGACCTACTACTGAGTAGCCTAATCTTTCCCGGGGGAGGGAGGGAATACCTAAACATTTCTAGGAAACAGTTCCTTTGATTCCTCAGCAGCTGCCTTTGAGGGAATTCCCCACCCCCTGCAAGTGCTGTAGAGCTATGTCATAGGTAAGTTTGTTTTATGTAAGGACCTGAATGAGACTCTGGTGCCCTGTGCCTCCCTTCCAGTGGCAGCAGTTCAAGGTCCATGCTCATGGCAATTAGAAACAGTGCCAACATCAGTCTCTTAGCTTTTGAGATTGTACTAAGCTGTCTTGTAACCTCCCCCTTTTTGCCTTCTGTAGAGGGAGTATGGAAACACCATCGCGAAGCTCTCCCCGAGGTTATAAATAGCCCTACTCTATCTGAATGAGTCATGTGTTTGGGCTGACAGTACTGGGCTCTGAGCACACTGCTTGTGCGTACAGGATATCCTTACACAGACTCTCTGCTCTTCCAGGCTCCCCCTGCTCAGACATCCTGCGTGCATCCTGGCTTTTACTTTGCAGGCCTGTTAAGGGCCCCTGAAATAACAGCTGCTGGAAGCAGCTTCATGCCCTCCCTTACATGCTGCATAAAGTGTGAAAGAACTACTAGTTTATCAGAACGCTGACCACTCAGAACAGAGCATGTGTTGAAACTTGGGGCCTGCCTCTTTCTTTCCCCCATTTGAAGGGCAGCGTGACCACAGATTTCAGGAGGGAGCACCGAGCGTTTGTTTAGATTGCAGGAATTGGCAGAATGGAGACTTTAGGCTTTTGAGTAAGCGGATTTCTAATTGCAAACTGCATTCGTGCTAGTAGATCAGCTGTAGAAAGGTTATGTATAGCTCAAGGGCACAAGTATAAATTCTGGCATGGAGGTTATCCCATGGAATGCAAGGTCAGTTAGTTTCTGTAGTGTTTCAACCCACGTTTGTTTAGATTGCAGGAATTGGCAGAATGGAGACTTTAGGCTTTTGAGTAAGCGGATTTCTAATTGCAAACTGCATTCGTGCTAGTAGATCAGCTGTAGAAAGGTTATGTATAGCTCAAGGGCACAAGTATAAATTCTGGCATGGAGGTTATCCCATGGAATGCAAGGTCAGTTAGTTTCTGTACTGTTTCAACCCAACTGACTATCTGTTTCTGCTACAAGAATGAACTGTGAGCTTGTCACGTGAACTGTCACGTGTTACAGTCGGGGCTTAGCTAAACTCATACTGCTTAAGATGGTCAAGTGTGCGCATCTTTGCCTTCTGGTCTAACATAATTCCTGCAAGTGCTGATGTCCAGCCCAGACTTTGTTGCATTTGCTGTTGCGTTTAGTGCTGTTCTGTGAGGGTCAGTGAAACAGTAGAGAAGTGTTAGGTGAAGGGTGGTTTTTCCCATTTTCCAGCTAAGAGTGGCTTCTTCTTTTACAGATGTGGTGGAGAAAGATCCAGATGGGGACTGCAGGAGGCTGGCCTTGCAGAACTTGCTACTAATGGAGAACCTGAAAAAGAAACTCAAAACTGTCCCTTCCTAGCTGAAGGGTAAAAGAAATGACCTTTACCTCATACTCTTGCCAGCTGGATGTGTGTAGGCACTGCTGGGGCCTCTTCAGCAGTCACCTGGCTGGAGGAGAGGAAGAAGGGGGGAAGGGTACAGAGCTGTAAGCCAGCGAACCTGACTTGACATCTGGACTTTGTAGTGGGGGCCAATTTAGTGAGCTATTGCTATCCGGTACGGAGTGTACAGATGCAGGAAGGTAGGCTAGCACTGCCATCCTCCCCACACCTCCCCAGCCCCCACCCCCGGCTATTTATAACCTTGGCAGGTTTGAGTGCTCTGCTAAAAATACAGGGAAGATCTCATAGCAGACTTCTTGTCAGAAAAACAGGAGGGTTGGAGAGGTCCACTTACCTCCCAGGGATAGGTCTGCGATATGCCGATAACAAAGGCTCCCGTGTCTTCTAGCAGTCAGCGTTTGGTGGAATAGTTACTGGTCTGCTGTTCGGAGGGGTGGCATGGTGTAGGGAGTGACACTGCCAATGAGACGCAAGAACCGAATAGCTACACTGAAGTTCTGAAAATGTGCCAAACCGTAAAGGCTTGAGCTAGAGCTGTGCTGTGGTTAGGAAGGAACAAAGCAGGAATTCTTTTTGTATAATCTTAGTACAGAAATAAGTTTCTATTAAAGGATAACTAATGTCCAGATTTTGACCTTAAAATCTCCCTCCACCCTTCTTCCCTGAAAGCATACAATTTAAAAACTTCATATTCACACCAAGTTTTGAAGCAAGTCACAAAACAGGAGGAAGAAAAATCACTCTAAGCAGAAGGGCTAGTTGGTATGAAATGTATGAGAGTGGCTTTATAAATACACCTTCGCGGGGCAGGGGAACAGGCTTAAAGGTGAGCAAAGCCTTGGTTGCTTATGTTGGGCTTCACTTCTCGTGGTCTTACTTGTGCCAGGGAAGAAATTTGCATCCTAAAGTCTGACTAGTACAGAGTAGCTCGACGTAACTGTGGTGTTTGGAAAAGAAGCTTCACAGTGAGAAAGAAGCTTCGCTGGCTCAAAGTGACCCTGCTTGAGCAGGGAGGATTGGACCAGATGACCTCCAGAGGTCCCTCCCAACCCCAACCATTCTGTGATTCTGAGGTTTAGTCCAGATTTCTGTAAGTGGTAGCTCTAGCCTGCATGACCCTATGGTGTATTTAAATGCAAAAGCTCTGGGTTGGGGGAAGTCTCCATTCTGCAGTAGGGGAGAAGTTTGACTTTTACCCAAGCTCCTACCCCAATGGGACAGAGATTGTTTTCAGAAGCTCTGACTTCTAGGGAACAACAAATAAGTTAGCACCTTAGCAGATCAAAGTTGTACTTGAAAATTTTGTCAACTCAGGATTTTCCACCTCAGTTACTCAGCTCTTTTTTGTACTCGGAAAAAGGCCTGCAGTTACAATATGCAGTTCTTGTTGGGTTCCCCCCCCCCAGATTTATTAAAATACTAAAACCAGCTTCATTACAGGATATACATGTGAATCTTTGTATGTAGTGTTTGAGATAATACATTAACTTCAATACTGTTGCTTGTACAGTCAAGCAGGAGGAATAAATTTCTTGGTAATAACCAAAAAGCCTTGTTGCAGCAGTGTGTTGACTGATACGTGACCCCTAATGAGGACAGAACAAATGACCTAGTATTAAAGTCAACTTTGCGTTTGGTAAGTGTAAGTTGTCAAGGGTCCTCCACCTCGTCAGCCACTTCTTCCTCCACCTCCTTGTTCTCCACGCTGCTGTGGCGAATTTGCTCTGGAACCAGGGTTCGGCTTACGGGAATGCCTACTCCTCGGTGAACTGCCTCAATGGTCTGCTGAGTCACGTAGTAGCTCAGGTTCATGGGTGGAACTCTTTTCTGCATCTCTTCCAGATACCGGTGAGCCTAAAGTAACACACAGGGATCGCTGTTACGGGGGGGGTGCTGCTTACAAGAGTCCCAGCAAAACGGTGAAAAGCGTCCACCCTTAGCGCGTGGCTGAGCTCTTGACAGGAGCCAGGAGTTGTAGCCTTTGCGAACGTGATGGCCTTTCACAGTGACTTGTGTCAATTCTAACTTTTTCAGTTTAAAAAAGAAGGGGTCTCAAAGGCTGGTTTTACATTCTCCTGATAGCTAAAGCACTGTCAAAACAACACGTGAAAAATAAGGTTAATCAGCACAGCTGGAGAAGTTAGCACTTGGCAGCCTTATCTTTCATAATCAAGCAGGTTACGGTTTAGTCCAAACGCTGGCGCGTGTGTGGCACTTCTGCCCTGAAGCAGTGATTCACCGTTTCCTCAAATGACTGCAATTTCAAAATTTTCTTTTCTTCTTTGGCCAGGTGGCAAATGAAGTACAGTGTAATTGCTGAGACGGACCTAGACAGACCCTTCTGTTCTTGCCCAATAACTGGGAATGTTTAAGAATCCACTGCTATTTATGCTCTGTGTCCTGTGCGCTTTTTCTCTTCAGTCCCATGAAATGAAAAATATATTGATATGGATATAGTTCCTGGGGTCTACCACACCCTGCTGAGCAGTTTAGCTCCTGTGAAGGAGCCTCTACTATGGAACGTCATCCTGTACGAGATAACCATGCTATGCCAAGTGGCACTGGCGTATAAAAAATACAGGCTCTGTAGATGGGAAGAATTAAGAATTAACTTACCATGTGGAAGTCCTCCACTTGTACGTAATGTTCAACCAGAAATCCCAAGACATCGCCGTGACGGATGGCGTTGTCAAAATCTTGTTCAGCTAGGAGAAGTTCACACTGTCTGACTGCTTCTTTGGGATCTTCAGAGTAAACTCTAGTAAAGAGCAAAAGGAAACTGTTAACAGTCTGGGGGAGAGCATTCGGCGTGTCATGTGAAGAACAGGGAAGATTTTTTTTTACTGTGTTACGTTTCATAATCGCCTTTCTGGCTACACTTTCCTTGGTCTATACACTTGCTTATATTTCAGGTTACATTTTCATCTTTAATGTCAACAGCACTTTTAAAAAACACATAATGGTTTCCCTGCTAGAAAACTGTTAACAGCAGCTTTTAGCAGCGAGTCTGCAAATTATTTATTAAACTGTAGGTACAGCTTTTCTTCTTGTCTGGTATTTCTGTCGTTAGTTTACATGCTCTGAATACTGCAGCTCACCTCCGAGCGTGGACGAATCGCTTAATCAGGGTCATCTTGCTTTGCAAAAGTGCTAGTTTGCTTTCCTGTTCCAGAGGGCTTCTAGTCTTTGCTTTTGAAAGGCACTTATATGCTTCTGTCAGTGCTCCTTGTGCTTTCTCATAGTTCTGATACTCATCGATTTCTACCTGCAAGGGGAGAAATGAGATGAACGTTTTGCTCCAGAGCTAACAAACCAAACAGCTTTAGCAGTCACAGAAGGGGGATGCACCTGAGCACATGCATCATAGAAACCTGCCAACAGGTCAAGGGCCCTTCCTTTAGTGTAGAAGCTAATGATGTTCTTCATAATCTCGGGGTCCTTGCACCAATCCAGTGATTGTAGATAGTTGGCTGCCATGATATAAATCTCTCTCTGTCTGGAAACTCCCGCAAAGAAGACAATTTTCTCAGTATCTCCAGATTTCAGCAGTGCCCTCATCGCCTAGCAATGGAAAGGGGGGCATGGGGGAAGAGGGGGAAAAAATATCAGCGTGAATGCAAAAACACAAGCTATACTAAGATGGCTAGGGATCCTCCTCTGGATAGTCTACTGCATGAAGACTGTTCCAAGATTTACTTCTCAAAATACCCTTGTTTTGAGAAATCTTAAGGAGGTAATAGGCTCAGCCTCTCCAGCTTTTTTTTTCCTACGTATCCAGGCTGACCTTTAACTTGTTTCCTGCTTGCGTGTATTTCTTGGTTGCCATGTGGTAATTGCCTTGTCTCATGCAGCAATCGGCAATTTGCTCCAACAGCTCTCTCCGGGACTCCTCAGAGAGGTCCTTGGAGTCTTTAGAGACCGTCATCTTCTCAGCCATCTCCTCTGTGATGGTCAGGTTCTGCTTCAGGCAAAGCTGCAGAGCTTCACGGTACTAAGGGAAGCGAGAAAGCAAGGAGATGTTGCAAACACTATAGTGATACTTCACGTTGCTCGTGGTGTAACCTACAGAAATTAGCTCTATGAAGGCACAAATGCTAGCAGCTGTGGATGCTCTGTCTAGAATGTTGTTGGGTAGTTAAGCATCCCGACATCAACTCCTGTTCAAGCACACGCTGTCTCATTTTGTTCACTAAGAATGCATTTGTTCTTCCACGAAGGCCATTGTTTCTCACCTGTTTTCTCAGCGGACACTAATGCGGCACTGAAGATTCGTCCATTTCGTCTCTTTGAACATGACATTCTCAGAGACGTACCAGTCACATTTATTAGGCATGACGGATTATATTAAGGTTTTCAGCAAATACAAATAAAATCAATACAGGCATTTGAAAGATTTTATTAAATATTTTGCTACTTCCCATATAGGAACAAATTATGAGTAGAATATATAATAGCTTTTAGCCCAGAAAGGGGCTACTGTACCCTTGCAAAACACGGAAGAAAGCAAGACACAGGCGCTCATTAAAGAGGAGGGAGTGCAGGACTGCTTTGGTACCCAGCATTTTTGGTAAGGCTGAGTTGCCAGCATAACAATGAGGGCGAGGCAGACGTGTAAAAGTTTAGGTGCGAAATGAAGCGCCTTAGCTACGTTGGTGGTATGACAAGAGGGACAGCATTCGGGGTTTTTTGACTGATGATGTTATAATTTCCCTGTCTCTCAATATGTTAGTTTAGAGAGTAGGAGTTTTTCTTTTCCCAAGAGTGCAAAATCTGCAGGTTTTAAGCCAGAAATAAGACAAAAAGTCAGGAATCCATTTCTGGAGTTGAGCCCAGTGGGCTACCACCCCATGAGTCACTGGCATGAGAGGAAACATTAAACCTTAACAAAGATAAATGTATGTGCATGCACACACACACTTGTTGTGCTCCTCTTTACCTGTGCGTGGAGGGACCAGAGAAGCTAGAGCTTACCTTTTTGGCTGTTAGTAACAACTCCATTGCTTTCTCATACTGAGCGTGTTCAATAAAAAAATCAGAACAGCGGGCTAGCAGAGCTGGGTCTGAGTGCTCATCCAGGTCTTCAGCAATTAGCTGTAGGGCCCCAAACTGCTGTGTGGCAAAGGCTAGCTCCAGTGCTTTGGAGAAATGTCCTGCCTGCAAAATTAAGAATGAGTCTTTAAAGACTAGAATAAACACTGCAGAATCAGTTTACAGGATACCCTAGAGTGGAGTAATAAAGCATTACCCGCCATGAAGAAATGAGTAATAAACTTATAGTAAAAACTACAGTTGATTTAATGTTCCTCTGTGTCCTGGTTTCGGCTGGGATAGAGTTAATTTCCTTCCTAGCAGCTGGTACAGTGCTGTGGTTTGGATTTAGGATGAGAACAATGTTGATAACACACCGATGTTTTAGTTGTTGCTGAGCAGTGCTTATACTAAGTAAGTCAAGGACTTTGCAGCTTCCCATGCCCTGCCAGCATGGGCATCGGTCGGCGGGTGGTGAGCAATTGCGCTGTGCGCTTTGTGCTTTGTGTATTCTTCTATTATTACTACTACTACTTTATTTTATTACAATTTGTTTTTATCTTTTATCTGGGCATCGGTCGGCGGGTGGTGAGCAATTGCGCTGTGCATCACTTGCTTTGTGTATTCTTCTATTATTACTACTACTACTTTATTTTATTACAATTATTAAACTGTTTTTATCTCAACCCATGAGTTTTCTTACTTTTACTCTTCCGATTTTCTCTCCCATCCCACTGGGGTGGGGAGAGTGAGTGAGCGGCTGGGTGGGGCTCAAGTTGCTGGCTGAGGTTAAACCACGACACTTTGCTGTAGGAACCGCTTCAGTTTAAAGTTTGGTATTTTTTACTACAAAGACATTTACCTTGTGGTATAACATGACAGCTCGGTCCATTTGCTCCCCCTTTTCCTCATAATAGCATGCTGCCTCTATCATGTCTTCCGGAGAGCTCAGAAGAGCCAGATTCATCAGCTGATCATCTAAATTGTTCTCCTATTCAAAAGCAAAGATTTGGCTCTAGGTACGCAGCAAACAGATTTCATAATTCTGTCTTCTGGCAAGCCTATAGCTTCACACTGTCACACAGTAGCCCACCAACCCCCCTTCTGTGTAAAACCTATACCAACCCAAGTAACTTTGAGCTGCAACAATGATAATTTCTTTCAGGCAGTTTTCTGTTGAGATACACAAGAAAATAATGTCCCATACAACCAAGCCTGTACTGATGCATCTTTTGTAGACGATGCAGGCAGAAACTGGGAGCATCTTCATAGTGGGCTCCGTATGAGCAAGAAACATCTCACAAGAGAGAATGGGCACAAACAGCTTGTACCGCTTTCATTCTGTATGCTGCCTAAGGATAGAATCCTACTTTGCTTTTGGACATAAGTGTACCTCTTCACATACCTTACACAAGCGGATGGCGTTGTTAAATGCCTGGGCCCTGGTGTAGAAATGTACAGCCTGCTTGATTTCATCCTGACTCTCATACTGGCGGGCCAAGTGATAGGATGCTGCCCAATTCCCCGTTTCGTTTGCTATTTCAGCAGCCTTGAAAACGAAATTATATAGCTTTACTTTGTGCCCATACTCATCCCAGGAATGAGAATTCTCTGGAAGCAGATGATGGGAGCAGGCTGCCTTACCTTCTGAATGTTGCCCTGAAAGCAGTGGACACGGACTAGGGAAAAATAATCCTGAGCCAGTGCATAGTATTTTAGCGCAGATTCCATATCCGATTGGCTCTCCAGATACTGTGCCCACCATTTCCACAGGCTCCTAGAAAAGCAACAATATTAACTGCAGTAACAAGAATTGCCAGAGACTGCATTTTTCACTCCTGGAGATCTTGATCTCAAGACTAGATACATTTTTTTAGAATGTAGACAAGGCTTTACCCCAACTCAAGGGTGATGTTCAAAGGTCTGCACTACAAGGGAGTTCAGCCTAGGTATCTAATGTGGCAGCATAATCCTGAAAAGCTGTAGGAGGATCATAATGGATAAGGCAGTGGCTGAACTTGCGGCTGAGAGGATTCCTACTCCTCCTTCCCTGCTCTCTTCACAAGTTGTATTTCAGACCTGAAAGTCCCATTCGGGAGAAGGAACAAGCATAGCACTGACTTGTCTTTCATCTTGTTGATGTAGTTCTCCAGGGCTTGTAAGTCTTCAGAGAGCATTCGGGGTACCTCGAACCTATGTGTGTCTGACTTCTCATAGCTGTAGAGAAAAAGAACACATTCGATGTGAAATGACTACCTCCTTATTAGCTCACTTCCTGTGTAAAAAAATCCATTTAATGTTGTTTGACAGCTATAGAGTGACAACACTGGTAACACTGCTTCATTTATATTATTACATTCACTGTAAGGCCAGTTGCAGTCTGCTAGCACCATCAAAAATAAAAAGGTCGACGGTCCTGCAAGGCACCTGGAATCAGGGAGGCAATGTGATCGCAGAACAGTAAATACTTTAAAAGTGCCAGTGATGGCCCAAAGAAATAGCCCGGAAAGCTCCCCAAACATTAAGCACATCCCTGTGCAACTGGCTGAAAAGGTCACAAGAGCCCTGGGCTCCTCAGCTTGCCTAGTCCTTCTGCCATCCACTGCCACTTCAGCCTCTTCTCCACTACCGGGAGATCACTGCACTTACACCACCATCCACCGTTAGAGCCTCTCCTCACCACCCTGCCCACCTTGCTCATCTAATGGGTCTGTCTGATCACATCAGAGCTCTACTTTGACTCTGAACAGTAGTGACCTTATTATATTATTATTATATTGCAAGGCTTCATATAGTAAAACTCATACAAAAACAAGATTTCAAACAACAAATACAACACATTAAAAATCACCTCCCTTAACTTCTCTAGGGACTCATCAATCACAGGAGAGGACCAGGCGCCAGAAGCACCCAAGTCAGACTAAATTCTACCACAGCAGTTGTGTCTGGGACTTTCAGGAGAAGTAAACAAGTGGTTTTGTCATGGAAAAGGAAGGAAAAGAGGGCAGTGGTCTTCCAGAGACAAGTACAGAACTGGGGTTCAACTATTGGCCCCCGACAAGACACTTAACCTTTCCAACGCTATTAGCCTGGGAGGGTGCTGGGAAGTTTATTGTAACAATGCTTTCACTCCGTGAGATAGAAAGCACCAGAAATGGGAAAAGACTTTAATTAATTATTAGCAGTCATCACCAGACATCCTCCTTAGCCTGCTCCCAGTCTTCACAGGAGAACAAGGCTCCAAATCCCCTGGGAGCCACAGGCTGGTGCTTACTGGGCGAGTGCAAGACTGTGCTCTCCGGTTGCCTCCAGGTGCTTAGCGTAGTTGTAGTACGTGGTGCGTAGGTGAACCCGATCGTGAGCTTCTGCTGTTTCGATGGCTTTCTGCCACTGGTTTGAGGCTTGATAGAACTTGTTCAGGAGGTCGTAGCGTTTGCAAGCCTTGTACAGTCGCTCCGCATCCTCCTGGAAGGAGAGCATACAAACACCTCGTTAGCTCCGACCGGTGTTTCGTAGGTGTCCTTCACAACAGACACTGCACTTCTGAGTAGTTTATTAGTGCAGGTCATTGTAATGCAATTAAAGTAACAATAATTCAGGCAGGGGGTTTAACCAACTAAATATACGTAGCCTGGAATAGCACATTACTGGGAAACAGGATGTTTATGTGAAAATAAGGAAAGCACTCAGATCCTGGCATTTACTGTACAGTATCAACTGGGGGTGATATGAGCAAGCCATCAACAATTAAACGCTGTCATCAGGAGCGTAAACCATTTCAGAAAGGGGAGATATGCTCATGTGGGGCTACAGTTAATGGCCACGCTGCCTACCCAGAGGTGAGGTCCGGGAGACAGTCCTAGGCACTAGGGGTTTTGGCAAGAAGGCGTTATGTGCCAGGGGACCCCCTGCGACCTCCGAGCAGGTCTCAGAGGTAGCAATGCTGTTCGTGGATAACTGGGAATAAACGGTGTTAATTTAAGACAGAATTAGAACAGGAGGATTTTGCCGATGCTGACGCAAGGGCAAGCAAATTTGGAACTATTATTTTTATGCTTTGAGAGGTACTCCTGTGGAAGGAGCATTTTCCTGCTCCACCCAACTGCTGTCCAGCTGAACACTATATTTAGTAAATTGAGATTATCTGTCCAAGACAGAAAAATAGTTTCTGTCTCTTATTGTTTCAAATTCAAAAAAGCATAGAAAGTAGAGATGGAAGATGCCTGCACTATGATTCTGTATAAGATGAAAAAAAGCAACAGAACTGCATTCGTTTTGCTACAGTTCCCCTCTGCCTCTCCAAATAGATCTAAATATCCAAAATAAGGAGTGTTGACACTTTTCAGCCTCATAGCTTTCTCTGCCAGGAAGCTTTTCCAAACATTTAGTTGGAATTTTCCTTTTCTTCTTCACTTTAATTCAGAATAGTTCCTCTATCTCTCTAGCATTTATACTCTTAAAATTGCTGTAGCTTCATAGAATCATAGAATAGCTTGGGTTGGAAGGTCATCTAGTCCACCCCCCCTGCCGTGGGCAGGGACAT